AAATCCAAACAATCCGACTGTTGAAATGCAATTTGAATTGATGATTTAACAAAAAACATATTCAGTCATTGCCTGCTGTCTAGAATCAAAGGTTCCTGTTTTATTTTTTTTTGGGTCATCAATTGTCAGAATAAAACGCCCGCAATAAATTGTATTGGCCATCAAGCAGGCACACCATTTCTCAGCCAAGTTTCTTGCTCTTGCTGTAAAAGATTCATATCCTGTAATACTGTGTTATATAGAGGCGGTATGTATAGTGTGGGTTCCAGGGAGAAAACTTCCGCTTCTTCTATCAGGCCATTCAGGAGCCGACCGGTAGACAAACTAGCTCAAAATGTGACTGATGTAGAAATGAAGGTGAACAAATGAATGAAGACGTCCAAGCACGCAGACAAAAACATGATTAAGGAGAAGGCGGGTTGCAAAATAGAGCAGTGAAGCATCTAAAAACAACTGTCTCACTGCATACTGAGATGTGGCTTGGGAAGCAGGGAGGTGGATTTATAAGACGTATGATTGACAGAAACCAAACGAGAATGCACAGGAACAAGACGAATAGAGCACAGCACGTTCTGTTAAAGGCTAGAGGACAGCTGAAGGGGTTCTAATCAACAACCCCTGTCCTACATCCACAGTCGTGAATACATCGTTCCAGAAAAGATGTGGTATTCAAATACACCGTTTTATGTCGGAACATAAATTAGCTCTCATAAGCGTGTGTATCTGCCCATACCTATTTGACTTGCCAGACATCTGAAGAACCAAGCACCAAAATAACGTCCTCCTTTTTTTGATCCGCAAAACGTTTTTTTTTTCCCCATGAATATGAAAGAGCGGCACCACTTCATTACATTTGCTAAAAGTAGCAGAAACATCCCCCTCGTCGTGCAATCCGAAATGACTTTGCGGAGCGAGGACGGAATAGGAATTGGAAATTTGCATAGCTGCTGCAGAAAACTGCCAAGTGTTTTAACATGGGTGTTGTCAGGTTTGGGGGGCCACAGTGGTTGTTGTTAAAAGCTAATCGCATGTAAAGGATAATGAAAGCTACAACCAGTGACGAACAGGCTGCTCGTTTCTTGTCGAATGTTCCATATGATCATAATACTTTGACTATTGTATACTCATTATTGTATCTCACCGGATTAGCGTAATCGCCACCTGAGTTATTTTTATATTCAGAACACAGTTCACAGTTTTATTTGTATTACATTCAAATTTTGTACACATATAACTGGACTTGAGATCCCCACAGGAGCCCAAAATGTTAACGCTGTCTGGAGTTTTGAATAATTGTGCTCGTCATCAATTCACTGTCAAGCAAGAGAACTTAGTTTATTTACCCTTATAACAAGAATGGAACCTGATTTTTTTTAGAGAACAAATTTCATGGTGAATCTACATATACAGTGTCACAAACAATGGAAGGGTGCCTGGTGGGTTATACTACGGTCTTTTACGACCAACCATGAGAGTTAGCTCTGGCAGAGACAGCCTGTTGCATTGCATTTCTAATTGGATAGTAAAAATCGCACAGTTCTACTGCTGCATGAGATCTATTTTAAACCCCCAAACAGGTTAGCAAATGTAGTTCCTTGCCCTATAAAGCATCAGCAGTGATGCTAGTAATGGTTCCGCAGCAGTAAAACTTAGATTAATGACACAAGTAGTCGCGGTGCTGTGAGGATAATTGGTCGCTCTTGTTTTAGCAGCGCCGCAGAATCCGTAGCCACTGCAACCATAGCATTAGCTTGAAAAGCGATCTAACCCTCGCTCTGCCTCGTAGCCTGAATAATGCAGAGTTGCCGTGTGGTGCGTTAAACTCCCCTGCTGAGATGAGTCCAGGGTAGCAGCTGTACCTATCAAGACTCTCTTCAGAGCTGTCACGGCCTGTCTGCTCCTCAGCTAATCACTTGCTACAGGCCTGCAGCGTGGGACCGCCACTGCTAATGTCGTCAGCTCTTTGGGCCAGGGAGAGATCACACGAATCTGGGTTTAGTCGCTTACCAACATGACAAGACTAGGAATTTCCTTGATCAACCAAGGGTGAAATGAACAATTAATCGATTAAAATGCCCCACCCCCCTCACTATATCGCCATTCATTGTTGGCGGTATAGCACAGATTTTTAAGCGATCTTATTTGAGGGTTTTTAAAATATACAAGCCAGTCAGAATTTAGTGGTGCACTAAATAGTGGTCAGTGCAGAACCACGTTGTGCCTCGACATGCCGGGCAGAAAACTTAGAAGTCCCTCAGGAATATTCATGCTCTCCAGCAGTTGGAATAAAGCCTGCGTCTCACATGTCAACTGGCAGACTAAAAAATGTTTTGGGCGGGTGAAGGAATGTTTTGTTGTTGGTATCCACTGGTTCAGCACTGTCAGGCCCCGCGGTGAACACGGCTGAACTGACTGTCAGCGGAGATGATAAATTATAAGTCAGACCGGCCGTGCAGCACATTGATGAATACGCCTGTCTGCCCTCTTGGGGTTGAGCGGCATTTTGAACAGTCACACACATTGTGAGAGCGGGAGCAGATAACTAACGCAAGGGGATTGACAAAGATAATGGAGGTCCCGAATAAAGCTGAAAGGTATAAAACTGGGAATGATTAAGGATCGACTCTGCGTCTCTCTCTCTCCAAAACGCCTTCCCTGACATTTCCTTAAGCATATCTACTTCAGATACCTGGAAAATAATAGATCTTGTGGAACAAAAGTTGGAGCTTTTCTACAGTATCTGCATTTCTCAACAAATCCAAACAATCCGACTGTTGAAATGCAATTTGAATTGATGATTTAACAAAAAACATATTCAGTCATTGCCTGCTGTCTAGAATCAAAGGTTCCTGTTTTATTTTTTTTTGGGTCATCAATTGTCAGAATAAAACGCCCGCAATAAATTGTATTGGCCATCAAGCAGGCACACCATTTCTCAGCCAAGTTTCTTGCTCTTGCTGTAAAAGATTCATATCCTGTAATACTGTGTTATATAGAGGCGGTATGTATAGTGTGGGTTCCAGGGAGAAAACTTCCGCTTCTTCTATCAGGCCATTCAGGAGCCGACCGGTAGACAAACTAGCTCAAAATGTGACTGATGTAAAATGAAGGTGAACAAATGAATGAAGACGTCCAAGCACGCACACAAAAACATGATTAAGGAGAAGGCGGGTTGCAAAATAGAGCAGTGAAGCATCTAAAAACATGTCTCACTGTGCATACTGAGATGTGGCTTGGGAAGCAGGGAGGTGGATTTATAAGACGTATGATTGACAGAAACCAAACGAGAATGCACAGGAACAAGACGAATAGAGCACAGCACGTTCTGTTAAAGGCTAGAGGACAGCTGAAGGGGTTCTAATCAACAACCCCTGTCCTACATCCACAGTCGTGAATACATCGTTCCAGAAAAGATGTGGTATTCAAATACACCGTTTTATGTCGGAACATAAATTAGCTCTCATAAGCGTGTGTATCTGCCCATACCTATTTGACTTGCCAGACATCTGAAGAACCAAGCACCAAAATAACGTCCTCCTTTTTTTGATCCGCAAAACGTTTTTTTTTTCCCCATGAATATGAAAGAGCGGCACCACTTCATTACATTTGCTAAAAGTAGCAGAAACATCCCCCTCGTCGTGCAATCCGAAATGACTTTGCGGAGCGAGGACGGAATAGGAATTGGAAATTTGCATAGCTGCTGCAGAAAACTGCCAAGTGTTTTAACATGGGTGTTGTCAGGTTTGGGGGGCCACAGTGGTTGTTGTTAAAAGCTAATCGCATGTAAAGGATAATGAAAGCTACAACCAGTGACGAACAGGCTGCTCGTTTCTTGTCGAATGTTCCATATGATCATAATACTTTGACTATATTCTCCAGCCACATCATCTGTCACATCTTCCCGCTTTCAACTACAGCTCACTTGGGCAAATTTCCGAGAACTCGGCCTGACTTATGATAGGCATAGCCACCAAATTTGGTGCCGCTTGGTGAGACTGCTGTCCGGCGTTGAATTTTTTCTAATTTTCCCGTCGATGCCACTTTATAGGTCAGTGGGCGTGTTGTGGAACCCTAAAATGTATACACATTCACCCAGAAATGCTTTCAGAAGCTTCTAATTTAAGCAATCATAAATATTTTCAAGGAAGTGAGTTACTTTAAGGTTTTTTTGCTTTTCGTACCCGGCCTCAGTCATCATCCCCCGCGAAAAGTGTGGGTTTAACACTCATTTGACTGTAATTGGGAATGTAATGTGTGCAACACTCACTAATAACTTCAAAAAGACGGTCTGCTAATAAATTAGGTCATTGTTCCCCAGATCGATAAATCCCCTTCAGTGACTAATTGACAGGATATTACAAACTTGTACAAAGGCATCAGCCGCCTGACATATTCATGATAGCCGGTATTTAAGTGCGTCATAAATTATTCCTCGGGGGTGGAGGTTAGTGGATGTGGATTATTGTGTCACGCCATTAACTCTTACGGGCCGGTTAAGGTTGCGGCGCTGTCTTCACGGTCAGTTGTCTTAGTCCTCTGCCAAAAAATGGAAGGATGCCAACAGAGGAGCCGGAGCCAGAAGGAATTGCTAGAAAGCTAAAAGGAGCCCATGCTGAACACAAAAGAATGCAATGACTATGGAGAAAGATAATAAATTGTAACTCTTACATTTCTTTGCCCTTCAGCCTTGCCCATCCCAAAAGGGCTGAAGTCGTTTCAGGTTCTATAGGACCATGTCTAGCTGAACCCAACCGGCCATTAAAAACCTGGTCCAACCCAAAATTAGCAAACTTTTTGACAGTCAACCCATATAAATGTATGATCGCCTTATGTGATCACGTATACACAACAAATTGATATATCACTAGATTTGAAATCAGAAGTCAGTAAATAATTGTTTTCAATTTTATTTTAAAAGAGGGTTTGGTAACACAAAATGCTTGCAATATTTCATAAATCAGTGTTGTTAAAACAATTTGCAAGAAATATGTAGTCAACGCACATGATTGTCCTCGCGGGCCACGTAAAATGATGTTGAGGGGTCAGATCTGGCCCCTGGGCCTTGAGTTTGACACCATTGAGTTCGACCTTATAACCAGATATAACATTAAAGGATCAAACTTGAGTTCGGATATGCAGTACAGACCCAGAACCGTTTCCGAACCCAAGTTTCAGCCTAAAAGGACCAGTTGGACTACACAGAACCAGGTCCAACCCAAATGGGGCAGACTTGTGCAACAAAGACTCAGAACCCACTGGATGACTTACGGTAGAAGACGTATTCTGTGTAGCTGGACCAGAACTTGTCCTCCGTGTGCTGGCTGACAAACGAGGCGGTGACGGACGAGTTGCACGCCACCATGTGGAAGCCGCACTCTGACAGCATGTCGAAGGCCCTCTCCAGGTGCCTGAACTTGAGATAGAAACGGGATGTGTAGCGATCCGGGGTCCGGTTCGGATCCCGGCTCTCGTTCAGGGTCTCCCCGAAGACCTCCTTAGCCAGGGCCACTCGACCGCAGATGAGGATGCGGGGCACGCGGCGGAACTTGGCGTCGCTCTGTGCCTCGCGGGCCACGGTGCACGACCCCCGGTAGCCCACCGTGACGAAGCCGCTCTTCCTATCCGCGGGGACGAGCGAGGGCGGCGGGCAGTGGCGCGGCTCGCTTCCCTGGGAGCCGTCCTCGTAATCACTGTGGAACAAGTCATCCGGGCTTTGCTTCACCTCCTCCGGGCTGAGGAGCTTCACTAAGTCGGGCAGCTGGAAGTACTCCGCTTCTTTGCGGAGCCGACCTTTCTCCGGGAAGTGGTCGGGGAGGACGACCTGCTTGTCCCGCAGGTAGTCCAACACGTAGCGGAAGAGGAAACCGTCCCGGTCGATGAAGTAGCGACCTTTTGGGTCTCGGGCTAAGTCGTTGGAGGCGTCCTTTTTGGAGAACAACTTGGCGAGGAGAGAACTCGGGCTGCTCACCAGCGTGCAGTAGCGCGTGTAGTACACCTGGCCGCCCACGTTGAGCTCCAGGACGTCGGGGAGACTATTCTGGACCGACGCCTGCTCTTTGGGGTTAGTCCTGCAGTTTCCGCTCAGCGCCATTGTAACGAAAAAGCCCCAAGAACGCTGCTCACTTTTATATTTTACACTATTATAATGTTATGAAGAAAATCACACGAGTGAGTGGCAAAAGTTCCATGAAAACGCTCCTATATCACCGATCCATAGTTGTATTGAAGACACTTATATATGCCTCATAAAGAGGATATGAACTGGTTCTGCAGGCTCCATCCCAAACAAAACATAAAAAGAGGAATCCAGGTGCAGACAGAAAATGCGCACAAAACAGTAAGAACCCTGTCCACAGTCGTACAAGGAAACTCCTCATAAAAAAAACTTAAGGTCCAAACAGGAGTCTAAAACGTTCTTGCTCACTCGTGCTGAATGAAGATGAACAGGAGGTAAAAGTCATCAATAGATCAATGACATCACTGCGCCGCCTCATTTCAGAAAAAATGTCTTTTTGCACGCAAAAATACGAATCTCGGGTCCGTGAAGGAGAGGAATGCAAGCCAAACGTGCCTCTACCAGAGAGCTGTCTATGGTACTGACCCAGCCCCCCACTTTCATCTCCACTCCCACCGCCCCTCGTGCACAGAGCAGGTTGGTGTCTTCACTCGCTTGGTTGTGTGTGTGTATCCCACTGTAGCACTCACTATGCTGCATTTTTTTAACACTATCCCCATAATAGCCAAATAATGACATAAAATGGCTCCAGAAAGCAGGACAGTAATTTCATGCATGGGAGGGGAAAAAAAAAGCGCTGAGGAGTTTCTGCTTTTGTAAAGTAAGCAGCAGCGCCACCTTCTGTGCGTAAATGAAACCTTTTTTTGTCCCTTGCGTGTCAAAGCTGTTAAGATGCATTAAGTTTAATGTTTAATCGCAGCTGTTTGTCAGTACACGCAATTAAATGATCGTTGAAGTCAATTGTACACGGCAGGTCAAACCATTAGGTACTCCTGCACATTAAAATCAGATCCAAAGATGATAATAATGAATCTCAACACATTAGAACACTGGATTTGTTTTTTTTTAATTGTTCAATTACAAAAGTGATCTCGATTTACGACACAGAGCCTGAAATATAGCATAGTTAGGCGCCAATTTAATATTGGTCAATTTTTGTCGTATGGTCCATATATTATGTAATGTTGATATATTGTGTTTGCATATTTGAGAATTTAATTACAAATAATTGTCGTGTTTATTGAATGCATATATTAGATTTCACTTGCTTAAAAAATACAAAGATACAGAATGGTAAAATATGTCTTTGTTGGAACTATTTTTGAGAGTGTCACGTAACTGGCGAGAGTGTGTAGTTAAGTGGGAGTGAGCTGGACTTTTGAGAGATGAGGTCAGCTCATGATAGAAGCAACATAGTTTTTTGAACAAATCAAACAAAGAAACATATATGTATACATTTGTTTTGGCTCATGCAAATTTATAACACTGGGGCGGAGCTAGAACATGAGATGAAATGAGGGCTACTTAGTGTTGTAGCAACACATCAATTTGAGTGTGTGTGTTATTGAAGACTTGTGGAGACCCCGAGACTCCGTCTATCGATGGAGATGTTCACCCGTCCATGTCCAGACTGCAAATGAATGCCATTTGCACGAAGTCACCACTGGCTAATTTAACAGCCCCCTCCGCTCTCCCCCTCCCGTTACATCAGACAGCACAGTCAGGCAGAAGTGCTGAATGGCTCCATTACGGATACATTTTCAGAAATAGGCAGGAATAAAATAAAAGGAACAAAGGTTTTAATTGGCTGTTTAATTTCACTCCTGATGGATGCGCACGCACTCCAGAGGGGAAACTCTCTGTATACAAATTATTAAAAAGTAACTTTTTTATGTAGTGTCTGGAAAAAAAAAACATTCACATAATGCATAGATAAATGCATCACAAAATTTTGTATTCGATCTCATAACCAGATAACAGAAGGCTGTTATAAAAGTGGGTGTGTAATATATTCTTATCAAGCAGTGTTTCTTATTTATGCAACCAGTCAAATTGGACTTTTCTGGAAATGGGCTAAAAAAAAAAAAAAAATGGAGCAAAAGTGAACAATAGATACAAGAGGCGGATGAGGAGGTGCTTTCGTTGGCCGGGACCTGAGCAGTCACCCAGAAGTAGGCCACGTCAGTAGCTTCATCATAAATACATGGAGCCTCAGCACTGCACTGCACTTGCTGCTATTTAAAGAGCACACCACGAACCTGTTCGGGTCGACACCATTCCTGCCAGCTCCCCCCCCCCACCCCCCTCTTTAAACAGCATCTGCTTTAGCAGCGAAGACTGCATTTCCACCAATGACTGAGCAATATGTTTATCAATATGGTTGAAGTGACGTAGAATTTCGTTGCATGGTACTGTGAGTACTTTCTACTCCCTTGCATCTCTCATGTTGCTTAATGAGGTCACACAATCTTGTTCAGGATGCCGGTCGACCTCCAATTTGTCTGGATTTCAAAACGGTTTTCAGGGTCAGGAAACAGGGACATTGCAGGCCAGTTAAAGAAAACATCTCAACACAGATGACATTTGATCCTGGGACCTCGCTAGTGTGATGCAGGCATGCAAACCACGAGGTCACTGTGCTGCCCACAAAGAACATAGCACTTTAGGCCACATAAAACAAATAAAATAAAATAAAATATATTTTTCTTTTATTGGCAATCTGTAAAACTATTTCCAACAAATCTGTATTCACTGGACAGGTCACATTTTAAGTTACACTTTAGTTAATTTTCCCTGTCATGCAAATGTATGGAAATAGAATACGTAGCTGGGATGAGCTCCTGTTCTCATCAACCCAGAACAGGATAAGTGTTAAAAATAAGGACGGTTTGACTTTCCAGGATTATCCAACTCAAAATTTCATTTGAATTCTGAATTGTGCAACCTGCATTTGAGTAAAAACAACTCTCAGAATGAAGCAGTGCAGTTTTACCCCAATGCAATCATGACAAAATACGCATCGTGAAATATTTACTCCAGCAAGCGCCGCATGTATTATTCAGCCATTTTTGGAAGAAGGATGCAAATCAGATCATTTATTATTTTACTGCCTGGCACAAAACTACTTGGTGTTTTTCGGGGACGAATCAGGAAAGCGTCGACTTGCCTGACACACATCAAGTCGCTGCGGCAGCATTTGCTGCAGCGCAGATAAAACTATCCGTCTTTTTTCCACTTTGTCGCTGTTGATTGAAATGAAGAGCACACTTCCCCCAGCTTCGTCTCTCGAGACAATCAGACTGAGTGATGTCGGGGAGGAGAAATTGATAAATTCAATAGACTCAGTTGGGTGAGGGTCTTTTATTTACAAAACAACTTTGTGAATACGCCTCAGTAATCAGCTTTTAATGCTGCCATCCATCATAAGTACAAAGCGAAATGTGAACGATGAAACAATTTGCGACATGTTTACTCTCCTGAGTTTGTTTACGTGACAGTCATACGTTCACCCTGTTTGAAATGCAGTTTGTCTCAAGGTTCTTAGGTTCTGGGTTCGAATCTTGGCTTTTCTGCGTGGAGTTTGCGTGTTATTTTTACTTGCGTTGCTTTTCTCCAGGTACTTTCATCATAGTCAATTTTTTGGTGACTTTCATTGTTATTAATTCAGTTTACATTTTTTTTTTTGTGTATTTGTTTATTAGCTTTTTTGGGGGGGCAGGGGGGCGGAAATGCTTTGTTTTAGTCAGTGTCATTTAGTCTTAGAATTAGTTTTAGTTTTCTTTCCATTTGTGGAATATTTGTGTTACTCGTGGAATGCAAAGTGAAAAAAAAAACAGGTGACTAAATATTGTGTGATAAAGTAAAGAAAACTACAATTGGCTCGCATCTCGTCCAAGGTGTACGCCGCCTCTCGCCCAAAAACAGCTCACCCATGACCCCAACAAGGACATGCATTACATACATTAAATGGATGGATAACCAAACATTTGTTACGTGGTTAGCTTAGACTTTTTCAGTAATAATTCACTTTTGATTGACACTGACAGAGAGCTATTAACAATGCTTTCTTTTTTTTGTTGTTGTTGTAGTTGTGGTTTGCAATGGTGTACAAATTCACTGCGTCATGCCGAGAGCAAAGTTCCTAAATCAAAAATCAATTTTTCACACTCCTTCAACCTTTTTTTTTTTTTTTTGGTGTCTATCTTACATGGTTGAAAAGTGATGATAATAACCGCCATACTTTCTCATATCCTGTCACTTATTTCATCACGGGTATAAGACCATTTGCACACTCGTCACTCAGTCAGTCAGACGGTCGGTCGGTAGCTGGCGCCTGATTCACTTTGCAGCATGTGGGCCTCAGGAAGCAGTTGGCCAGGATGAAGTAGTGGGTGTCGTGGAAGCATTGGAATGGAGGAGGCGGTGCGGAATTTAACAGATTCACAGTGAGGAGGATCAAGTCTCCAGTGTTTATTTGAAGAAGAAACAAAAATGGAGATGAGACATTACTTTCCCGTCTGGTGCGTGGCAATTTATCCCGCATAAAATAGCATACAACCTCCAATAAAATGGTCGTTTGTGTCAGCATTGGGTTTAATGGCACCTGCGGATGCTTTCATAAAAGCACATGAAAGATGAAGTCAGTGCCGAGTGAGCTGCATTTCAATGCCGAATTTTAATTGCACTGCGTTTGCATCCTCGTGTCATGTAAAAAAAAAAATCAGTCGGTGCCATCACACAAACATTTAATAATAATCATTTTTAAAAAGGATTTTTTCATTGTGAAGTAGAGATAAGCTCAATTTGATATGAATATTGAGAAAAGTAAACCCAGTCAGAAAGCCCCTGCATCACCATGCATTTCAGTGAGAGTTGTGATCACCGAGAACATGAAATAAACACAACAGGTGATTTTATTAACTTGAGCCTCCTCTGGCCTGCATGTTACATTTGGCAATACCAGCCTGGCACAGAGGTGGAAGAAGCCTCAAGGGATGTTGACCTTGTTGACTTGGCAACGTGAGCAGATGGGATATTGCTAAGCAGCCATTCTCCATTATACCGGAGAGGAAAGGCCACGCGGGAACACTGTGGAAAGCCAACTAGGCGTGTAGCTCAGCCCTTTGCATTCTGTGTGTGTGTGTGTGTGTGTGTGTGTGTGTGTGTGTGTGTGTGTGTGTGTTTGAGCACGCTTGTGTGTGCACGTGTAGAATGACAGAGGAAAGAGTCATGTTGACGTACTTAAGATGTTCAATTGCGATAAAGGTTAATGATGGTGTTGACATTGAGTTCATCATGTAGGTTTACAATTTTGTCCTTGTCTAACTTTTTCTTTGTCATAAACACTTTTTTTTTTCCTCATGTGACTTTGTTCTTGAAATATTACGGGTTAATTCTTGTCGAGTAACTAAAAACGTTCCCTCAGAATATTATTACTTGTTTCTTTCCGCTTTCATAATTATAAGAATGGATTTTTTTGTAAGTTACAGTTCGGATTGTCATGATGATATGACGTTGTTATAAATCTATTGCCTTTCTCAAAATATTGCTTTGCAATATTATTTTCTCTGAGAAAAATTATAAAAGTGTATCCTCAAATTATTACAGCCTTTTTCTTGCTAAATTTTGGTAACTTTTTATCATAATATAATAACAATATAATGTATAAATTATTTTTTAAACAACATATTTCTTGTAATAATTTTTATTTATGTAAATTACTGTCTCATAATATTACGAGTTCTATCTTCTTCTACTTGCATGATGTTAAAAAAAACTAAAAATAATTTTTTGTGCAATTATGACTTTTTCTCATGAGTTAAGATTTTTTGTAACATTACAGTTTTTTTTTATATGCAGTTATGATTTTACTGCTGTAAAGTGTTTGTCATAAAATTGCAACAATACAAAACACTTTCCTGGTGCAATTGTGAATTTTTCCTGGAACAGTACCTCTTGCTTTCATCCAATTTGGATTCTTTGACAGCGTTTTTCTCATCCAATTACTTCATTCTCATTATACGACTCGTACTTTTACGACTCCTTTCTTCCTTTTGTGTCACTTTTATTTTTCCATCATATTCCAAATGAATTATTTATTACAAGAATGAAGTCATGAATGTGCGTGAGGGATAATCACAGCGAAAAGGTTCATTTCCTTCAGTGCGTAGAAGCCAGGGAGAGCGAGAGTGGGTGAGTGCGACTTGATGCATTTTGAAGGCGCATAATTAAACATGCCATGGGTCTCCATTTACCTCTGTCGTTTGTGATCTCATCACTAAGAGTTTTCCTCAGCTTTACATCCACACTGTCCACGGTTGTTTAAACGTCTTCGTCCTGTAAATGACTTTTTTTTCCCCTGTTGTTTTCCAAGAACAGCTCATGTCAAATAAAACATGGCGTAGAAGAGTCATGCTGCACTCAGTAGCTGAATGCAAGCTCTACCCTCAAGGGTGGATCCTTTTGTGCACACTCTTGTATGACTTTGACGATAAAATTAAATAATCCAACATATCTCCTGTGCCTCAAGACACACGAGAGTGGAGTGAAAGAAAGACGCATCCATCGCTTCTTTTTTGCCGCTGCTTTGTGAAAGGAAGGTAACAAGGTCAAAGCTGTTCTCAAAGGACTTGTCACGATTCATTCGTGTAAAGCCACCATGAGCCGGGAATAAATAGCGCAAACCGACGAGGCCCGCAACACAATCACGAGACAAAGGGGCGCAGACACCTGGCAACAACATTAAGTACACATGCGCAAGCTAATGAAATGAAATACTGCCTTACCAAGATGTTAATGCTCATTTTTTCTTTTCGATAACACTGCCGGCATCAGGTAGGGGTATTTGTTTTTACACGGTATTGTGGAAGTCTTTGCAAATGTTTGGCCACTGTGCAAAGATCAAATAACCAGAAAAAAAGTGTGTGGTGTGTATCAGCAAATGAATGGTTGTCTCTCTCCGGGCTCTATTTTTGTAGACGGGCACACGTGCGCTCAACATATAAACTGGCGCATCTTCATTGTCATGCTGAGTAAAGTTTAGTTAACCATGTTTGGTAATTTGCCAGGCTGCGCTACGCCTTGCTATGCTTTCCGGTGGACCAATGGCATTTTCTATTCAAAATTACATTTTAGGATTACAGCTTCTGCCATGAGGTTCACTCACCCTGATTTTAAATTGAATGAGGGGAGCCGCTTTGATTGGCCGGGAATCAAGTCGGTTGTGTTCAGTCCCACAACGGCGCAAACGACCGTTTCGAACTGCGCCTGTCTATGAAAATGCCAAAAGGTCGAGGTTGTGTCAATATGGTCTCGATTGGGTGTACCTAATGTAGTAGCCATTGCATACTTTTGCAAAGCATCACTAGGTACAGTAAGTGCTGCATATTTGCAGTCCTTTATGCAAGCTAATTGGCCATGGAATGGCTGTTGAGGCAAAAATCAATCCCAATTGATCAGCAGGGTTGTAATTTAAAGATGTTGCTCTGACACGATAGACATGCTGTCCATGCCACGCCTCAAGATGTCGACATCTGCAACCATCATCGACTTTCCTTTCAACGTCAAGTCTGAGAACAAATGAGTGCAGCATTAAATCACCGAAACAAAACGAATCCTGGTTGGAAGAGCCAAACAGGCTGCTTTGTGCACAGAGAATTCACATTCATGTTATTTTGCATGCTAGTTTACCCGGAGGCCTTGTTTTTATGATATCGTACATCAGTGATTGCCCCGAGCGTTTACTAATCATCCGATTAGATTTCTCTGCTTGAAGGCGCAGACAGAAAGAGGCACCAGGGTATTAAATGATACTGTATGCAAAGATCTATTAACTAGTGTCTTATCAGTATTTTCTTTCACAATTAACATTTGTGATTGAAGACATGCGCATTGGTGTGACTGCGAATGTCACTCAAGTCAAAAACGTAACTTCTGAGACCATTGCCTTTGATTCTTTGGCAGCTACTTTCATAGCATTCATAGTCGGAGAACAATATGTTTGCATGCTGACATTTATCAAGTATCTTTTTAAGATCGTTGGCTGTTCATTTTTAGTCCCGGTTCAGCTTGGGTGCCCAGTGAGCAGAACCCAGCTGTACCAGCTGATGCCTACTAATTTATGAGCTGTGTAGCAGCGCTATGAAAGGGTGACAGAGAATTTAATTAGTTGAGTGTAAATGTTCTCAAGAAATATGAACAGACATGCCTACTGGCTCCTGCTTCTTTGCGTCCTCTCTCATGAATGTGACTGTAGTTTATACACAAACTGAATAAAAAAAAAAGATCTGTATATAACACGAAACAGTTTAATTTGTTGCTATTTGATGCCGGGTAGGTGGGGAGAGAAATCTTAATTGAGGATACATCCAGGGCATGGTTGGAAATGAGGGCTCACTGCAATAAAAGAAATTCAATATTTAAATCCATTCATGCAGTCAAGCAGCGGCGGCGGGATTACAGCAGCGACGCTACAAAAGAAGGCAATTATGAACGTGTGCGCGGCCCTAAATTCAATTACCCTCTGCCGCTCTTTTCAATTTTATTTTCATTAAGTGTATTAAGAAGATGTGAGGCGCGCTCCTCAAGTGGAGAGATGATTCAAAGTGTGAGAAAAAATGAAGGCTGCACAATTTTGCATACGGCACTACGCGACTGCCGTATTTTTCCCATTTGTTGTTGTAGGGCGGAAGTATACTATCTGCGTGAATGCAAATAATGTTGCAGTTGGGGATCACTGCACTATCATATTTGTAGATTAAAACAATAAAAATGACTCTTCATTATTCTATACCCATTAACAACACTGTAACTCATGCGCTACTTTTAACTTGAACTCTTCGTACAGTTTAATATATAACTCTCTTGTGTGCATAGTAAAACATACTTACATGCACACACAGTGAATATAAAAAGTCAAGACACCCCTGTTCAAATGCCACATTTTGAAAATGTAAATTTCAAATGTTTTAAAAGGATTTTTGTCACGTTCTGGACAAACGTGCAGAATGGTTTACTTGCAGACACATTTTTAGAAATTGGCAGACCCCAAAAAATTCACTTTTTCCTGCTGGGTGGGCAGGCATGCTGGAGACCCAGCATGAAACTATTTGCACGAAACACTTAAAAGCAT